AACTCTATCCACTACAATGTTGCCCAATCGTACCAACTCGGAATCGCTAGGATTATTTCGCTGACATCTCTTTAGCATTGGTCTCAGTCGCCTCTCCTTGTAAAATGTAACCCATTCATTCTCCCATGTATTATCCTGTTCAGTAGAACCGCACATTGTCGTTACGGGAAATCCAAATTTCCCGTTTGGAGATGTTGTCGAATGAAGTTGGGCTAGCTTCTTGGCAAGCGCTATTTGGTGTTTTGAATTCGAACCCGTAAATCGGATAAATGATAGCACGATAAAACCGCCTCCAGTCGGCAAAGAACCAGAACATAGAGCCTTTGGAGCAAAGTCGGGTACTGCTTCGTTAATGGCATTCAGTGCAGCCGCTTCGCCTTCAAACATTGTTGTAGCATTACTCGACGCATTTGTCTACATGTTAAAAGTATTACGTTGAGAGCGAGGTTGTGACGGATCACCGTTTCTGGAATATACAACATTAAAAGAGACCTTGACAAATAGTGGCCCAGCGTCAGTTGATATCTTAAGTGAATCATTGATACAGCCTCCGGAAAGACCTGATTCCCCTAATATCTCATTACAGAGGCCGTTTGCTCTAAGAACGTCCAGAATTGTTTGCAATACGTTTACCATTTCAATGAATGAATAGATGGAGTATTTAGGATGTGCTTGGAGCTTAGACGAATTTCATCCAAAATGTCAGGTGACCTCTCAATACCACATTCTCGGTAAATATTAACAGAAGCAAGCTCGAGCGAGTAACCAATGTAGTTTAGCCTGTCTGAAAGACGAGCTAAACTTGCTGATAGTTTACTACATTGGCTATATCTTTGATGACAAAAATGCAAAGACGCCATTCACTGCATTGTATAATCTTAAAAAGTATAAGAGTCACTGTTGTCCATTTTGGGACAAGTTCATTGTGTTAATCACATGATCTTATATGTTATAAAAACGATCGCAATCCCAAAATGCTCGGCTTGTCTCAGTCATGTTTTATAGACTATTTAAATTCACCGTCGTTGTCTTTGCAATCGCATTCTTGTCAGAGCTTGCTCACGCTGCTCCTCCTCCACCTTTAATTGAGGAAATTGGTGGTCCATTCTTTTGTCAAAATGGAACAAGTTTAACTTGCTGTCCTCTCCTAGCACACAAAATTGCCTCTGACCACCGTTCACTCTGCGCATCAGTTAGGCTCAATAATAAGAGTGGCTACAACATGAGTTTGATAGTTGCCAGTCTTGAAGATGGTCGCTGGGTTACATCAGACGATTCTGGCGACGTCGGTATAGACTGCAGCCCACGGACCGACGTTCTCGCAAATGGTGAATCCGAAGTCTTTTCGAGCGTTACAAATCGTTTTCTTGGTGGAGTACGGGGCTATGCCACGTTTATGATGAATGATAATGCTTCCACCTCTTTTACCATATACTGGGACACTCCATTAATTGGTTTTCATGGACATTATGTTATCGGATTGCCTACGAAAAATTATCGCGTTGCACTCCAACATGGTTTTGACGATACGGTCTTTCAAATTACAGTTACGCCAGTTCGAGTTTACTCAATTGATTGGAGGAAGTTCTTTTTGGCATTATCTTTCATTGGCGGAGTAAGCGTTATCTTATTTTGCTGCGGATTATGCATTACCGCTTGTTCCGAACAAGATAGTACTTTAAGCCGCCGTATCAATTCTGAACCACAACGATATCTCGCTACATCAACACCATCTTACCACAGCTATTCAAAATTTGATTTTAAAGCACAATCACCCTCTTCCGACTATTCTACGACTTCTAAACCACAACCATATTCTTCCAACTATTCTAAACAACAACAACCATCTTCTTCCGACTATTCCAAACCACAACCGACATCCGACAAGAAGGCTCAATTATCTGCTCTCCTGAGCCAAAAACAAGCAGTCAAAAATCTGCAAAGTGAACTAAAAAAAGATCCGGACTGTTTGAAATCACAACCATCTCATTTTGACTATTCTAAACAACAATCGTCATCTTCTAACTATGGTTCCGACTGTTTGAAATCACAACCATCTCATTCCGGCTATTATAAACAACAACCATCTTTCTCCAACTATTCTAAACCACAATCATCTTCTTCCAACTACTATAAACAACAAT